CGTCAGCCTCTCTGCTCCTATGATGCTGCTTGGCCTGCTGTGTTCATCCAGCCCTGCACCTTGTTGTCTCGGATTCTCCAGCATCTGCAGTTCCTACTATCTCCTACCTTTGTCTGTCAGGATTCGAGGCACCTCCTTCTCTGCTGGCGAAATGCACTGGATCATGTTCCCAATCACCAGGCCATCCATTTCTGCAAAGTCTTCAAACGTACAGTTGACGCCCACAGACAGCTCAGGCACATTGTGAGCTTCCAGCACCAGCTGGGAAAAGACAGTAAACAAAAAGTCAAAAAGTTATTCTTGTAGCTTTTGGTTAGTATAGACACAAACTGACAATGCAAACAAATCTCTCAGTTTCCAACTGAATCACATTTCTATTTGCCCCCAACCAGCTCTGTCCATATACTGACATTTATCTTCCAATGCAATATATCTTTTATTGTGTGGCTTGATGCTACACAATGAGCATGATTGAAGACAGACTGCTTGAGGAGAAAGCAAAGTCAAGAACTATCTTCAGGCTTAAGCTTCAAAATAACACAATTTATTCTACTATTTCTTACTAAATACTGCTATACAGGTAACCATGGATATACCAAGCTCTGACTTATAGTTACATCATTGGATAGCCAGAGGCTTTTTCCCAGGGCAGAAATGACTATTATGAGGGGGCATAATTTTAAGGTGATTGGAGAAAGGTAGAGGGGAGATGTCAGAGGTAGGTTCTTTACGCACAGAGTGGTGGGTGCGTGGAATGCAGTGTCAGCAGTGGTGGTGGAGTCAGATACTTTAGAGACATTTAAGCGACTCTTAGATAGGCACATGGATGATAATAAAATGTAGAGTATGCAAGGTAGTTTGATCTGAGAGTAGCATAATAGGTCGGCACAACATCGTGGGCCAAACGGCCTGTACTGTGCTGTACTGTTTTATGTTCTATGTTCTATCATGTATGGACAAACCCATCTTTGTGTGATCATGTCTTAGTTTTTGAAAAGACTCTCGCTCTGTGTCTTCGAAAGTGCTCCTTCCAGTATGTTCTAACCCTGCCCACACTGTACTATTTATTCTCAGTGACGTGCAGCTGTGTAACATCATGACAAAGTTGCTCCAGGGTGTCAAAGCCCTTACACTGTAATACACTTTCTCTGCGCTGCTTCCAGTGTAATTATATCATTTTAAATAAAAATACACTACCCCAGATGTGGTCTCAGGAAGGTCCTAATCAGCTGTAGTAAAATTTTCCTATTTATATATCTTACTTCCCTTGCAAACACATCAATATCCCATGCAGTGACATTTCTCAATTTCATATCTCACAAGAAGTCAACATCTCGGACAGTTCAATAGTCTCTCAGTGCGATACGAGGCTATCTGGTTGATTATATGCTCAGGCCTCTGAAATTGGATTGATCGAGAGTGTTACCCACTGAGCCAATGTCTACACCTTACGATTGGTGTGGAAAGATACACAAATGTGAACTTAACATTTTAGAACGAGAGTGAGGAAGTGGGAACAGTGAGAATCTCTGTGTTTAGTTGGGAAATATAGAAACATAGAAAATAGGAGCAGGAGTAGGGTAATTGGCCCTTCGAGCCTGCTCGAATATTCAAAATTATCATTTCTGATTATTCAACTCAAGTATGCTTTCTCTCCAAACCCTTTGATCCTTTGAATCCTAAGAACTACATCACTCTCGCTCTTGAAAACTTTCAATTTTTTTGCCTCAACAACTTTCTGTGGCGGAGAATTCCACAGGCTCATCACTCTCTGGGTGAAGACATTTCTCCTCATCTTAGTCCTCCAAACCTGCATCCTTAAATTGTGACCCCTGTTACTAGCCTCCCTGGTCATCAGGAACATCTCTCCTGCACTGACTCTATCTCACCCTGTTAGAATTTTATAGCATTGAAACCACACCCCGCTCCCCCAACTCTTCTAGAAGCAAATGGTCCCTCATACCAGTTCTGACCAATGCAGGATATTGGGTAACCATAGAAACATCTCAGCTCAGAGGTTTAAAGTGATGGCCTTGCCTCATGGAGTAATCTCTGACATACAAACAGTCTTTGGTACAGACCTGACAATCCTGGTTACCATAGACAACACATACCTCCCTTCCCCCCAACAGATGTTTACAATCTCACTTTTATATCTTTTCCCTAGTATTTTTTAGTAATAAAGTACATCAAAAAAGGAAAGTTTACGCTGAGGAAAATAAACACTTCCCATTTTAGTAATTTCCCAGACCAACTACAGCACAGCCCAACACAGTACAAATCTCCCTCAATATTGCTCAGCCATATATCTTGGATCTGGTCTCAGAAGGTGGTACAGTGATTATGTCACTGGACTAGGAATCCAGATCCCCAGGTTAATGTTCTGAGGATATGGGCTTGAATCCCACCATACGCATATGGTGAAATTTGAAAATCTGGAGTAAAATTCTAGCTTTATGATGGCCATGTAAGCACTGTTGATTGCTGTTAAAAAAAAATCTGGTTCACTGATCTCCTTTAGGGAATAAGTTCTGCTGTCCTTACTTAGCCTGAGCTACATGTGAGTCCAGACCCACAGCAGTGTGGTTGACTCTTAACAGCCCTCTGGGCAAATTAGGGATGGGCAATCAATGCTGGTCTAGCTCTCATATCATAAACGGATAAAAAATATCTGGAGTGAGATGGATTTTTTTTTAATTTTCCACCCCAACTATGCTGTAGCCTCTGAATAAGACCATAAGAAATAGGAACAGGAGTAGGCCATTCAGCCCTTTGAGCCTGCTACACCATTCGACAGGATCATGGCTGATCCAACCTTCCTCATGTCCACTTTCCTGCCTTTTCCCTATAACCCTTGATTAAGATGATCGATTAGGGACAATGTGTGTGCTGTACGAACTTGTATTTATGAAGTGTATTAATAATAGCACAATAAGTTGCTTCACTGGAGTATTGCCAAACATGATTGGACAATACACCGCTAAAGGAGTCATCAGAATAGGTGACCACTGATGCGATCAATAGGTGCAATGGTAGCGTCCCTACCTCTGGGCCACAAGGGTCAGGTTTAAGTCTCACGTCAGGAAAGGGATGGCCATGGAGATGCCCAAACAGGTTAGGATGCACAACTATTGATTTAAAACACAGTTTGATCATAGGCATCTTGAAGGGAGGAAACAGAGAGACAGCCAGTCTCAGAGAGAGAATTTCAAAGTTTAGTCAGCAAAGGGTTGTCAGATTTTCCAAAGTCAAAACCACGGGCACATTTAAAAGCAATGGGATGGCAAAGCTTTGTCCTGATGGACATGTTTGGCAACCAACGGTAGAGGTCTGGGGTGAAGCCATTGAAGGTGAGAGGGAGGACATGTGAGAACGTTACTCAGAACATGTCCAGCCGGAGTTGGCAATGCTATTCTGTCAATCTTATAAAAGGCATAATCAGCAATGTAGCCATCAACACACAGAAAAAGGGAGTAAGAACTCCCTGAGAGATGTCAAATGGGTGATGGACGGAGGGATACTGTAATGCAGTGCAATGTGATGCGTGTTTACAGGAACTAGGACGGAATTTCTCACAGATTATCTCCCATCAGGGCCCGCAAATGTATTTGACAAAAAGGAAAAAAATGAAAGCCATAACATTTGAATACTTTAAAACAATTGTGAAGGTGCCAGGACACTGGATGAAAAACAGACTGTCTGGTTGCCCTAAGTCAGCCGACAGACACTTCCAACTCATTATTGTGGAACGACTTGAGTCCGAGTCACAGCCATGAAAAATCAACGCTTTAACCACTGTAACACCCAATTCCAATTCCACTTCCACCCAGTGCTTACCCACCTTCCCAACAGGGTGAACCCAAGGTAACATTGGTCACAAATACAATAGGATGATCATGTTGCTCTGCAAATTAACACATATCCCAATTCTGATGTCAAAACTATGGCAAAACAGAAATAGTCCTTGGATAACAGGGAAAATGAAGCGTATGAAAGGCTGTAATTTTATAACTTGTTCCTCCAGAACCTTGCAACTGTTTGTTCCAGAACATTCCAGTTGTCACAACACATACACGGAAACTCACTTTCCTCAAATTGCCTTGCAATGGAGCAGTAGAAATAAAACCACTTCCCAATTTTGGATTGGTGGCATTCCAATGTGTTACATCTAAAGTGTAAAAGCCTTTAGACTAGGCCCGTACAAAACCACAGGTTAATTTTCTCAAAGACAGGCTCAGGTACAGAGCTATATTTTTTTTCTCTCCTCTCTTCCTGACTCCCCACACACCCTTGTGTGTCCTGACAGTTTTTTTTTAATCAGAAAGTGTGGCTTGAATTCAAGGCCACAAAATAATAACCTGTCGCTTGCAATTTCCACCACAAAATGGAGATGCTTTTTTTTCCTAGGGTCCAAATTACATTTCAGAGCAAGTGATGTTGGCAGGCTGAGCTGAAAAATAATTTGCTGTTGGAATACAAAACCTGTCATTTTTTATCAGCGAATGGAAGTTGGCAAGGTGTAATTTCATAACCTATGTTTTAAAATAATACACTTTCTCTTTTCCCATTTCCTGCTGAAATTACATATAGCTCGATATCAGGTCCAATGAATTATATGGCCACACAATAGGCCCACTCACTCTCTTGGTTCTCCAAAATAACTAACCTCAAACCCCTTGCCCCCACAGTCTCCATTATTCTGAATAGAAAGGATACTACAGGCATGTGACCACCTGGAACTGATCTTGTCTAATTGAATCTGAGGGCGCCGTTGGGAATACAGCATTTCTTTCAAATTGGCAAATGGGATAACAGTGAAGAAATGAAGCCTCCAAATACCAAGTGTCAAATGTTAGCACACAGCTATTTAAACATATGTAGTGTTACAACTGAAACACGGGAATAATTGGTTTGCTTTCAACAAGGGTAATTTGATGTACTGCAGCAGACAAGATCAAAAAGGCCAGGGTGACACTCAGCTCTGGAACAGGTAGTTACTGCCCAACAGCAAGAAGATTACTTGGACGGGACTTGGTGGCTATTGAACAACTTTGGTAACTCACAGAGAGACCAGTTTTCCAAAGAGATAGTGCTAGATACAATGGGTGGAGGAGGAGATGGCCATGGAGGACAGGGAGGAGGAGAGGGATGGAGAAGGGGGTGGACTGCGAGGAGTTAGACATGAAGAAATGGAGGGAATGAGGGGTTAACTAGGTAGGGAGGTGAGGGGGAAGGGGTGGAGGTGATAGGCTGGATAGGTGGAGGCTAAGGGGATGAAACAGAGGGGAGGAGAGGCAGGAGGAGTTTGGCAGCGTTGGAAGAAAAGGGGATGTCTAAGGACAGGAAGGGGAGAAAGAGAGGGTGCAAAGGGAAGGAGGAAAAGGAGAAGGTGGGGGGAAGGCGGGATACAGAGGGGAAGGGAGGGAGGAGCTGAGGTGGAAGGGAGGGAAGGAGGGATGAGAGAGGGGAGGGAACATGTGAAGTGAGGGGAAGAATGTGGCGGGGGGTCGAAGAGAAGATGGTTGAGGGTACAGCGGGGGAAAGAACAGGGAGTTGAAGAGGAGAATGAGAGGGAGGTGAAGCAGGAGGTGCAAGTTCCTATCGGTGGATATGAAATATCCCATGGCACTATTGAGAGAAGGGCACTTGAGAATTATTCCCACTGTCCTGGTAAACATTAATTGCTCAACCACCAGGTAAACAGATTATCTGGTCATTATCACATTTATAGTAACGCTGTTTATGAAAACTCCCTGCTGTTTGTTCTGCTTCATAATAATGGGTTATATGTCAAAAATGTAGTTAACTGGCTATAAATCACTTCAAGTTGTCTGAAGCTTTGAATACTGCTACATAAATGACATCTTCCTTCGTATTTGTATTTGCTGGAGATGATGGGGAGGCAATGGCCTAGTGGTATTATCACTAATCCAGAGACCCAGATAATGTTCTGGGGACCGAGGTTCAAATCCCGCCATGCCAGATGGTGGAACTTGAATTCAATAAATATCTGCAATTAAGAGTCTAATGATGACCATGAATCCATTGTCAATTGTCATGAAAAACCCATCTGGTTCACTAATGTCCTTTAGGGAAGGCAACTGCCATCCTTACCTGGTTTAGGCCTACATGTGAATCCAGACCCACAGCAATGTGGTTGACTCTTAACTGCCCTCTGGGCAATTAGGGATGGGTAATAAATGCTGCCTGGTCAGCGATGCCCTCATCCCATGAATGAATAAAGAAAAACAATGGACTCATAATCTAGACCTCACAGCTGACATACTAAGGACCTAAAATCGAATCCCACCACGGCAGGTGGTGTAAATTGGAATTTAATAAATAATAGTGACTGTTGTCAATTATCATAAAAGCCCATCTGAATCACTATGCCCTTCAGAAAAGTAAATCTGCCATCCTTACCTGGTCTGGCCTACATGTGACTCCAGACCCACAACAATACAATAGTAATGGGTAGTAAATGTTTGGCTAGCCAGTGATACCCACAACCCACCAACAGAAAAATAACAAAAAAAACCAAATTCCTCATTCCAGGCAGCATCCTAATGAAACTTTATTGTAAACCAATCTGAGACAGAAACATCTCTCTCATTCTTAAAATAACAATCACCCTTTAACCCTCGCACATCAACCCCACTGCACTATTAAGAAACATGTTTTTGCAAGAATCCAAGGAAAACAGAATACAAAAGAAGTGTATGGCTTCCTGTTCCCTCACCCACCTACCACCGACCCCCCAGCTCCACACACCACCCCTCTGCCCCACCCACCCACCTACCCCCCTCCCAACGCCTGCCCACACTCAATGAACAGCTGGTCCATTGCCACTCACCGGCACGCTATACTGTGACACAGAGATGTTGCTTGGGCTCACTGTGAGAGTGACACATTGCTTGATGTCGGATGCAAATCTTCGGAGCTCTGTAGAACGTTTACACTTATCTTTCCTTGTACACCTGTAATTAAAAAAAGGAGGGAATTGAGTTTGAAAGCCAGCAGACCCTGGGCCTAAGTTGACATCCATCTACAGTCAGCCTGAAACCTTGGGTTATACACAGTGGGAAGGACAGTGGCCTCATGCTCACATCAATGACTAGTAATCCAGAGACCCAAAATAATGTTCAGGGTAATTTGAATTCAATTAGTAGCTCTGGAATTGAATACTAGTCTCAGTTTCCTGGTCACCATCACCATCAGTTGTCTGGTTCAGTAATGTCCCTTAGGGAGGGAAATCTGCTGTCCTTACCTGGTCTGGCCTATATGTGACTCCAGGCCCAAATCAATGTGGCTGACTGTTAACTCCCCTCTAAAATGGCTCTAGCAAACCAGGACATTAAGGAATGGGCCACAAATGATAGCCTTCCTTCCACAATCTCAGAAACGATAAACAGAAAGAAAATGCAGAGAGAAAAAGAAAACAGTTAGATAGAACTCACAGTCCCAAACTCTATGAAGTAACAAGCATTCCTCAAACCAAACTCCTTTTCTGGATGTCAATGTGCAAAGATTCACTCTGAATTTGATGAAGAGAAAGATCTTCCTTTGAGCACTTTATTGAGTTCCTCAACAACAACATTAACATCCATTAACACAGCACCTTTCAGATAGTAAAACACAGGCTGTTACCAAATGAAACTTGAAACTGAGCCACATGGGAGATAACATAACCAGGTGTCAAAAGTTTGATCACAGTTAAGATTTCAAACAGTGATTTAAACGAGGGGGGTCATGAGGGGAACGGGGTTCACACAGGGTATTTCAGAGCTCAGGGCCCAGGCAGCTGAAGGCAGGGCAGCCAATGGTGCAGTGATTCAATGAGGGAATGCAGAAAAGTGCCAAATTGGAGTGGTACAGATACTTTGCTGATCTGTAGAGTCAACGAGTCACATAGCACAGAAGAGGCCCTTTGGCCCATTGAATCCAATCTGGCCATCACTGAAAAAGTTTGCAGAGAAAGCAAAGACCGCAGCCATGTTGGGACTTTACAGCCTCATGAGGATGGATTGTAGATGGAGGAGGGGCCATACAATGCAGAGGGTTCTTCCCTCCACCCTCCACCTTGCCTCAATTTGATGTGGTCAATTAATGGTCACTTTGTGTGATGGAGTGGGATTTGATAAATGGGGCAGGAAACCTGGCAGAGAGACTGCTCAAGGTGGGAAAGAATGGCTGCTGCCTTCTACATGGACCACCCTGCTTCAGCAATTGGGGGTCCCACCTCATTTTGATCAAGTCATGAGGTTTCTGCACTTGCTGCACACGGGGACATAAAAAAGTTCAGCAAGTAAACACAATATTTAAATATTTAGATGCACGCTTGAAACACCACTAGTGAAAAAAAAACTACTGGCCAAGTGCTGGAGAATGGGATTACAGGAAGCACTGAATCACAGAATTGTTTAGATGCAGAAGGTAGCCATTTGGCCCATCACTGTCTGTACTGGCTCATTAAATGAGCACCATTACCTCCTGCTTCTCCTGCTTTTTCCAAATAATCGTCCAATACCCGCTGAATCCCTCAATTAAACCCGCTTTCCACCACATTTCTATGCAGTACATTTCATACACTAACTACTCGCTGTGTGAAAAAGTTGTCCCTCGCTTCATCTTTCTTCATTTTGCACGTCATTTTAAATCTATAGCCTCTTGGCTTTTGTTCCTTTTAGAAGCAGAAACAGTTTCTCCATGTCTACCGTATCCAGTCCCCACTCAGGATTTTGAAATCTTTATCAGATCTCCTCTTAGCCTTCTTCTCTTCAGGGAGAACAGTCCCAACTTCTTCAGACTATCCTCAGCCCTGAAGTTCTTCATCCTAGTAAACTGTTTCTGTACTCTGTCCAACGTATTCACATTCTTCCTAGAATGTGGAACCTAGAACTGTACACAATACTGAGGTCTAACAGAGGGTCATATATAAATTCAACATCACCTCCACGCTCTTATACTCTATAGGTGGATCCGACTCTACTGGAATAGATACTGGTGTAAGTACGATGGGCCAAAGGGCCTCTTTCCATGCTGCAAACTCGATAACTCTATAAACATGTCTGTTTTCCACAGGTCAGTTTTGACATGCCATTAGGAATTTGAGGATGGCCTGTAACCATTAATGGCAAATTGGCAGCAGAATTCATTGACAAGAATTATTTGCAGTTGTCTTAAGTCATGCATTCAATAAGGTTGAAAAATTGATTCAAAAGGAGCAAAAAGGTTGTGGGTTCAGAGCCCACTCGAGAGAATTAAGCACAAAATCTATACTGATGTTTCTAGTCCATTGCTGAGGGAGTGCTACATCAATACAGATGGCAGCTTTTAGATGAAACATTAAACTAGGGCCCCAGCTGCCCTCTCAGGTGGCTATTAAAGATTATATTCAATGTACAGCAGGAAGTTCTTCTCATGATTGAGGTCAATCTCTCATTGCTCTTTGTGGGAGCTTGCTGTGCACAAAGCAACCAGTGAGCTTTTCCTAGATTGCACCAGTGAGTACATTTCGAAAGTACATCACTGGCTGCAAAATGTTTTGGGATGGCCTAAGGATGCGAAAATCAGGAATATCTACCGAAACAGATTATGTCCTAAAATTCTCTCCCTGAACTTTTTTAATTCATTCATTCGTGGGATGTGGGTGTTACAGGCTGGGATACCATTTAATGCCCATCATTAGTCGCCCTCGAGAAGGTGGTGGTGAGCTGCCTTCTTGAACCGCTGCAGTCCACGTGCTATAGGTAGACCCACAATGACTTTAGGGAGGGAATTCTAGGATTTTGACCCAGCGTCAATGAACAAACAGTAATATATTTCCAAGACAGAACAGTGAGTGGTTTGGAGGGGAACTTGCATATGGTGGTGTTCCCCTGTATCTTTTACGCCTGTCCTACTAGATGGTATGGCTGTGGGTTTTTAAGGGGTGCTGTCCAAGGATCTTTGGTGAAATTCTCAGTGCATCTTGTAGATAGTACACACTGCTGCTACCGAGTGTCAGTGGTGGAGGGAGTGGATGCTTGTGGATGTGGTGCCAATCAGCAGGCTGCTTTGTCCCGGATGGTGCCAAACTTCTTGAGTGTTGTCGGAGCTGCAGGCATCCAGGCAAATGCAGAAAATTCCATCACACTTCTAACATGTAGATGGTGGACAGGCTTTGGGGAGTCAGGAGGTGAGTTACTCACCGCAATATTCCCAGCCTATTCTAGCCAGTTCAGGTCCTGGTCAATGGTAACACCCAGGATATTGATTCAGTGATGGTAATGCTATTGAATGTCAAGGGGTGATGGTTAGGTTCTCTTCCATTGTAATTGGTCATTGCCTGGCACATGGTCAGAACATCAGAGCTTCCAATTTATCCAGATTTACATTATTCAGGGTTTGTTCGGACTCTGATTACTCAGTTACTGGGAGATATGGGCCATTTATTGTGTGTCTTTTGACGGAAGATGCTTGCGCCGTTCTGTATTTCAGCACTTCCTGTGTCATTTTAGAGTTCCAGCATCTGCCACAGAAGTAATGCCACAGCTCTGGTAAGATGATACCAAATTCAAACTCCAAGGCAGCATTGACTTATCTACAGGAACAGGATCAATCTGTATTTCAACTGCATTTACGAGCTGAAAAAAAACCTTCATTCCCTTGAATGCAGATAGTGTTGATCAGCAAAAATTCCCAGTTTAGCTCCAATTTAACTCACCTTCCTTCCTCCTGTGGTCAATATCCCGGGGTAAGGAATTGAAAAACTAAGCCATATTCCCATTCCCACACAATGCATGGTGCATGTCAGGAACTCCCCTTTGCAAAAGCAACTGTTGCTGGTGCAGTTGTTAATTTTAAATCAGAAATCAATAGGTCCTTATTAAATAAATGTTTTAAGGGATATGGAGGGGGTAACATTAGGTTGTAGATCATCTATGGTCTTGCTGAACAGCAGAACAGGTTCAAGGAGCTTAACAGCCCACACGTCCTTACATTCTAAGAGACTGCTGAGTGACTTGTGTTGGGGAGTTCTATGAGCACTTTGTTAAGCACTGTGTGATGGATGTTTGTGCTCATGAAGCACCACACAAGCGGGAAGCTAATGCCTTCTGAAGGAGGAGGAGGGTGGGTTGAAATCTGAGTAGGAAGGATAGAGGAAGGAAACACAAAATGTTCCTTCAGCTCCAGAGGCTAAAAGTGCTCAAAGCAAAAGGGACCCATTGCACGAGTGTCAGCATGTGACGAAAAGGATTCAGAGGCTGAGAACTCTCGGGGGTGCAGTTAAAAAGTACATTTGTGCTACCACTAGCCTATCTTCACAATACAATCAGGGAGACAAAAGCCCTTTTAAGTGAAACTACTTTCCCATTATCACTGCATGAGGGAGTCTCATCTTGATTGAACGCAGTGTTCACATACTGTGTATGAACCTTTTATTTCCCACATGGCCATCAGATCCACCTCATCGGTTTCAGTTGTATCTGATTGCAACCCAAACAGCTAGGCCCAGGATGAAATGACACTGCCATCCAGTTAGGGGCAATGCTCTTATACCAGACCATACAGACTGTTGGCTTAACTGTTTCTTCTTCTCCTTCTCTTTGAAAATGCCAACTCTAGCTATGAGGTAGCAGTTCCAGAAGCATCAAAGCCTCTCCAATCACTCAGCCAAGTAACAGTCCACTCATAAAAGGATCAACAATATGATTTCAAGCAATTTGCAAAGGAAGCAAATGCAGTAAGAATAAAAACTTTTTCACACAGTGAGTTGTTAGGACCTGACTGCAGTGCCTGAGAGTGTGGTGGAGATATATTGAAGCAATGCATTTAAGGGGAATAATCGAATGGTTATTCTAATAAGAACAAATATGTAGGGGTTAGAGAGAAAAGGATGGAGAATAGCAATAAGGCCTAATTAATATTCAGATAGCCAATGGAGCCTGATGGCTTCCTACTACACCATGACAATTCTGTGATTATATGAAGAACG